CGCGGCGATGACGGACGCGTTGCTGCCCCGCGGAGCCGCCGAGCCGGCGCCGGACCGCTGCTTCTTCCGAAAGGTGAGCGCCGCCGCCCCCGCGGGGCTCCGCGCTCCGGGTCCCGCATGTGCTCGGCGGGGCGGGTCCGCGGGCTCCCCCCGGGCCTCTGGGGCGTCTGTTCCACCCCGGCTCCTGCCCCCCGGGGCCGCCTGTTGTCCCGCTTCCTCGGGCTCCGGGCTGAGAGCAGGAGCGAGCGCCCGCTGCTCTGAATGGTGGGGCTGGCGTGTGGCAGGAGCCACCTCGGCTTTATTTTTACATGACAGCAGTGGTAGCATTGAGATGGCACCGAGGACGCAGCAAGGTGGAGAGCGGCGCGGCTGACAGTCTTGGTCTTAGCCGCCCTTCCCTCCTCTCCTGCCAGGGGCTTGGGGCAGGGCCGGGTGGGTGCAGAATGGCTTGGGCTTCAAAGCCGAGGTCCAGGGCTGAATCTGGGCCCATGGCTGTAGCCCCGGGTGCCCAACCTCTGGCTTGCAAGGCCTAGGAGGCTGGTGCACAGGGCTCCCCTTGGGTCAGGAAATGGGGCAGTACGGCCACCACTCCTCGCTGCCAAACTCCTAACTCTGGCACAGCTGGATTGGGGCTGAGCCATGCCCCCATCCTCCTGCGCAGGCAGATTGGACCTGCTGTGCCTACCCCGGGCGCTGGATTGTGTCCACCGGCATTGGGCACTACCGGATCAGCCCACCAGCCAAAAAGTTTTGAACAGAACTGCTGTAGCCACGCTAAGACTATCCATTCTCTAAAAGAATTGGCATAAACAGCCTGTTTTCCCTTAGTACAAGACTTGCTTCACATCTGAACACACACATATCTTTTTGCAATACCTTGTGACCACTGTTTGGATTGTGGCCATGAGACACACATGCCTTGCTCTGTGACAAGTACTTGAGCACGGCAGTCTCCAGGTCGCTTTGTCTCTGGAAGTTTAAATAGGCTTAGTGCTTTCAATTTGCAATATACTTCGGATTTAAATGAGTAAGGTTTGAGGTGTACTTACTAGAACACTACAGGGAACCTGGTATTGCCATGCATATAGCTAGATGGGCAAAAACCAGCTTTAGCTCAAATCCCATTTGCTTGCTTCACTTGGTTAGTTCTACCTTAGTCACCAGTGAGCAGCAGTCTCCTCTTGGTTTGTTTGTAGGTATTTGCTCATATTTCAGTTGATTTACTATTAGTTTTCCAGCTGCTTTTCTACAAAACTTGACATCTCATGGGCTCTATAGGCTGAATATAATCAGCCTACAACAAAATCTAGCTTAAGAACTTGGAAAAAGATAAGCAGTATTTTACAAATTAGCACAGAGGTGATACAAACAAGAGTTAGAACAGTGCTGTTTTAGTTGGCCCTTTAATGAAATATATCATTAATGCAAGCTTAAAAAGTGGATTTGAGCTTCCTCTCAGTTAAGCTGGTCTAAGTCAGGGTTAACTCCATTAAAATAATTGGTGTTGCACAGATGTAAGACTTATGTAACCAAAAACAATTAAGTGTGTTTCCTTTTATGTATAATGGGAGTCATTTATATTTTCAAGTTCTGGCCCATTGTTCTGATTTTCCCCCCATCATAGACAGAGCGTAAATCAGATCAAAATCTAGTCCACCATTTCAAAACATGAAAGAAAAGAAAATAATTACTGGTAATTTGTCTTCAATTTTGCCTGAAGTGTGTGGCTGGACCAGATATTACTTAAAAGAAATTTGGGATTAGGTAAGAAGGCAACTGGGAGAAAACCCTTTCTTGGCTTGGGCATGTAGAGGACAAAGTCGACCTTATTACAAGAGAGTTTCCGTCCATCATCTATTCTAGATTTTTTTTAATAGTTCATATATTAGTCCACAAATGTACTTTGGGTAAGTTTTTACCCTTTTTCACAATCTGTCTGTTCTTGAAAAGTACTTAAATGTAATCCTTCTTGGATTCTGAACAAAGGGTTAGGGGTTTTGCAGAAGTCAAGACAGGGAAACCCTCTGGCATAGATATGGCCCAAAACCAATTAAATATGAACAGTGCCTAAAAGATTTTGCACAAATGAGCTTTCCTCTGGCTTTTTTAAATAAAGCTGTTATATAGCTGTAGAGACTAAATATTTGAAGACTGGCTTGGAAATTGTGTTTGTGCATGTTTATGGGAGTTTCCAGCAATAACAACCCAGGACATATTTTATATGTTAAGATAAATAAATAATAAAGTCTCTCTCACATATACAGTTGAATTATTCACACAAATGACAGTGGCACAAAGTAATAACATTTATTTAGCACTTTAATAGCCCCTTAGGTGAAAGTAATTCAAATAGCTTCAAACAATATAACTTCCTTATGTAATAAGGAAGTATATTCCTCTGTTTTTAGGCATAGAGCTCTTCAGAAACTTGCCTAAAATCACCCAGGAAGCCTGTGACTGCTAGGTGTTGTCATACTTCTCATCAAAAACAGCAAAACAAATGAGTTTCTTAGTTTGTGGTACTTCAGTTTTTTAGGAAACCCTTGTGTAATAGGGTACTTGTCACAAGAAGGCATGTATCTGCATAATTTGAAAGACCAAATATGAACAGACCCTCTTTTATTACCAACTTTTAAATCATAAGAACAACTCTGTCCACATTCCCAAGACACATTCTAGCCACTGTGCTTAATCTACCAACTCAAAATGATCATTGTGGAAAAGTGGTCCTTAGATGCTTCTGTGATATGAGGCTTTCTTCCATTTTATATTTATTTTATTTATGTTCTTATGTTAATGGCTTAAGATACATCCCCTCTCATAGGAGGAGGCTGTCAAGATTACAGGGCTAGGGGCATCCCTGTCCTATTTCTGGTCTCTCTGGCACTCCCATTCCCAGGTGTCAGACTTTGTACCTCTGTATATTCTCTAGTGCATTTCCACAATTTGAACTCTGCCCTGGTACCCTATGAATCAGCTGTGCTTACCCAGGATGGTTGACTGAGCTCTGGCTCCTGAAAGGTTTCTTTCCAGCATTATCTAGTGATAAAAAATATTTTTTAACCAGCCAGCATATGAACCAGCCACACCCCCATCCAGATCTCACCATGTCTGCAGCATTACAAGCTTCTGCTGGCCTGGGAGTGAATATCTAGGCTTGAGTCTTGAATTTGGATTTCTTTGAATGGTAGGCCATAGTGCTGAAGCTAGACTAGACTAGTAAGGCAACTAGTTTCATGAACCTGTAAGTTCTGGTCAGTTTGATAAAGATATTTTGTATTACTCCTGTTTCTCTTAGAATTTTCTCTCAGTAAACCACATGGGTCAGCTTATGAAGACAAAAAAACTGCCCTCTACACCAGTCAGGGTAAAAAGAAGAGAGAATATTTAGTTCTCCCTACTACAGTACTGTACTGTAATTAGAAGGATAAGGATCTTGGCCCAAAGGCTCAATAATCTGCTCTGAATCAAAAGATTCCTAGCTAGCCCCACTAGTCTGTGCTCTGGGTTATCCATTTCCTTGTGCCTTCATCTGTTTACCAGTGTGCTGCACCTGTGTCTCCACCAGGGCTTAACCCATCTGACTCTAGTCATTAGTAGCCAAGCAACCATTAACATTAGCTTTTACATAGGCATATTTATTTGCCTATTTGTCCTCCCAACAAGAGTTGGGGAAGGACAGAATGAATAGCAGAATGATTAGTAAGAAAGGTTTTACTGTCTTTATACGTCATTCATTCTAAACAAATCAGCACAACCCAACACAGAAAAATCTAAAGAAAGAAGAAATCCGGGCAGCCTTTTAAAAAAAATCAAGCTTCTCTGCTCAAATAATACTACTTTATGGTTTTGTCTGGAGTATGCTATAGTGCAGCTGGCTTGCTATATATATAGGTAGTTCAATACAGAGGTAGTTACAGATTCTTAAAATTTGTATTAAACATGTTTTACATTTAGGTACATGGAGTTTAAAAAATCATGCAAGTAAACAAAGATTTGCATACAATGCTATAACTGTTTCGTTGTGCAATTACAGCCTTATAGCAGTCTTCAGAAGTTTGGCTGTACAATTCTTGCAAATAATGTAGCCAAGGGAACATGTTTTCATTAGCTTAAAAGAGTACATTCTGGGTTCGGTGCCTCTGGTCAGTTCTGTAAAGAGATTACTCTGTTTTAACACTTAGATAATGTTACACAATCAGTTGCATGTGGCCATTTCTTGTTCAATAGTGTATCCTAGGAACAACTAATATACAGCTAATCTCAGTTGCTCAAAAAGCCATGAGTCTGGCCCCCAAGTCATCATATTGACTTTAAAATATGATTTTTTTAAGTGTATGTTGGGTCTTTGTATTTACCTTCTGGCTTTTTAAGCCTTTTGTGTTCATGTTTTCCTTCTTTTTCTTTCTCACCTAAACTTACTTTTTAAAAATTAAAAGCTTACTTTAAAAAAATTAAAGCTGAGATCATTGTAACTAATTTAGTTGGAACTTGATGCTTCATCCTAAAGCTTGCAGTGCATCAGGATAGTTTGCAACATTGAACTAACACAATATCAAGAAATTTTCAGTATCAGGGCAGAGGAAAATAAATATTCAGTATGTTCATTTTGGCAAAGTTTGGCAGAGCCTAGTCATACAGATAGTTACTGTGTGAATAATATTCACGTATTTCATACTGGTGAGGTCAGTGAAACGCCCAGCATACGTAAAGATATCTTTAAGTATTTGCAGGATGAGGCCCTTGGCTTGCAGTAGGGCTTGACAAGCAGCACAGGTTACACTGGGTGGACAGGAATGTTTTATTTTAAGCAAGGCGGCACACCCAGTTTCAGCTCTGCGTCACCACTGCCAATCAGTGCACGGCTCATTTTATCAGTTCAAACCCCCTACCTCATGCATCATCGTTCCATTAAATGCAAATACCTCTTCTGATTGTTTGCCAAGCATTTGTGCATTGTGTATATGTCACACTAGATTTCTGAAATTAACAATAATTCATTTTTAAGTATTGTAGGTGCTGCCTGGCATCCAAATGAGTTACTTGCTGCTTTTAAATATGGGGGCAACATTT